AAAATATGCTTGAAAAAACACTACACTACAATGTGAAACTGAAACAACAAAACACCTTTTTGTTTTCTTTTTTCTTTTGCACAACCAACCAACAAACAAACAACACACGCATGTACACACACCCAACAAACAAACAAACAAACAAACACGAACAAACAATATTCCTCTCTGTTTTGCGCTCTTTTCTCTGTGTGTGTCTATCTCTCTCACTGTTTGTCTCTCTCACCACGTTTTGTACCGCACGTACCAAAAATCAAATCTCAAATATCCGAAAAACCACAAAAATTTAAAACACAACGAAATGTGTCTGCATTGCAAAATAAAACTAAAAATAAATATTAAAACGCATCCTGCGCAAAAATCGATTCGACCAAAAAAAAAAAAAAATCGCCACATGAAAAAAAAAATAGTTGGGACTCTCGTCCGCCGCCATGGAACGCAACAAGACTAAGGAACAGTTGGAGGAGGAGAAGAAGATCTCGCTGTCGTTCCGCATCAAGCCCTTGGCCATCGAAGGATTCGGCGAGGCTAAGCTGCGCGAGAAGGCCCAGGAGCTGTGGGAGCTCATTGTCAAATTGGAAACTGAGAAGTATGACTTGGAAGAAAGGCAGAAACGTCAGGACTACGATGTGAGTACCACTCGGCCTAGGGCCCCGTAATCCTCTAGGGATCCCTCAAACTGACAGCCATCTTCATTGACAGTTGAAAGAGTTGAAGGAAAGACAGAAGCAACAGCTCAGGCACAAAGCCTTGAAGAAGGGTCTCGACCCGGAAGCTTTGACTGGCAAATACCCGGTAAGTTAGGCCCACAGCATCTAAAACCTGGAGCACCCATCTAACCAGAAACTCTGCTTACAGCCCAAGATCCAAGTCGCCTCCAAGTATGAGCGACGTGTGGATACCCGCTCATATGACGACAAGAAGAAGCTCTTCGAGGGTGTAAGTATCTGGTTTCCTTTTCTAAAGCTAACTATTCTTGGGTTTTTTTTGGGTTGCCTCTTTGTAAAACTATCTCAATATTACGCACATATAGGGCTATAATACGGTCTATGCGGAAACCTTAGAAAAGACCTGGCAAGAAAGACAGGAAAGATTTACTCAGCGCACAAAATGTAAGCGTCCGCTGAGCCCTTCATGTCTACGTGTCTCTCTCTCTCTTTATCTTCCTATCTATCTATTGTTTTATGTTTATGTCATATACTATGTTTTTTGTTTGTTCCACTACCCCCGAAAGTACAGTCAAGTCAGAGGGCGTTTAAAACACTATGGAAAGTACAGTCACGTCAAAGGGTTGGGCGTTGAAAACACTGCCAAAAGTACAGTCACGTCAAAGGGTACATTAACAAAAGAGGTTAAACAAAAATTTGGGTAACTCATAGGTCATTTTGGGGGCTGACAACCAATAACCCATCTAACGTCTACTCTCTTTTTATCTCTTTCTATGTTTTATGTACTATATTTTATAATTGTCAACTGTACGTTGTACTGTGCTCATTAAATCACACACCAAAACACGATCAAAACACTATGACACACAGGGCTGGGATGCCATCTCCAAGGACTCGAACGAGAAGATCTGGAACGAGAAGAAGGAGCAATACACCGGCCGTCAAAAATGTATGTACTATAGATCAGATGCGAGATATACATATAGCTAGGGAATCTGGGGATCAACTGTACCCCACCAAGGGACGACAACAACAGAACAACATTCATCAATTTGTTCATTGTCGTGCTGTGTTTATTTTATTATTTCCGTTTCCTATGGATCTCTCTCGAGATCCTACTTCTAGTGTTCCCATATTGTACACCTATGTCATAATGCTAATGGTTCCCATATCTGTAATCCTTAGCCAAACTGCCAAAGTGGTTCGGCGAGCGACCAGGCAAGAAGGCCGGTGAGCCCGAGACACCCGAGGGCGAGGAGGACGCCAAGGCCGATGAGGACATCGTCGAGGATGATGAGGAGGTCGAGGAGGAGGTCGTCGAGGAGGAGGATGAGGAAGCCGAGGAGGATGAGGAGGAAGAGGAGGAGGAAGAGGAGGAGGAAGAAGAAGAGGAGGAGGAAGAGGAGGAGGAGGAAGAAGAGGAAGAGGAGGAGGAGGAATAGACCAATCCACTCTCTGGGCCCGCCCTCGCGCACCACTTTCCTTCACCACTTTTCGTAAAAACAAACACTACATTTAAATACCAAAGCCAAACAATTTTAATAAAAGTAAAAGAATGAACTAAATAGTTATGATATCTTAGATTATTCGCCCAACAACTTGCTATTCAAAATCAAAAACTCAACATCTTTTTTATTGAATCGAGAAATGTAAGATTTCTTTAAAATAAAACATCAAAACCAACACCAACTAAGTCAAATACTAGCAAAACCAAAAACAAGCAACCAAAAAAAAAAAGAGAACAATCAAGATATTAAAGTGTGTTATGGCATCATATCTATGAACAATTCCTGTTGTTTGTGTGCATGTTTGTGTGTATCGATCGGGTCTCCAAAACAACGTTGCTATATTGGGGGAATTTTTACCAGATGGAGGCCTTAAACCCCATATCTTCTCTATTTTTATAGCCAAAGATGGTTGGCCTTCGTGTTTTCAGGAAATTTGGTAACAAGGGTGGATATTTTTTTCAGTAAAAGCCGCAATTCCCTATTTCCATAATATGTTATGATATGATATCATATGAAATATCATTGGAATTCAGAACTCTTATCAGGAAGAAATCATATTATCTTAATCTGCTTAAATCCCTTTTTTTTGGAATAATTGACAATATAGAATTTAGTCTTCTTTCTTATCTGGTTCTCTAATTTTAGGTCGAAATTATTGAAAATAGATTTCAAGATCTGTAAAAAATAAATAAATAAAACTTGTTTGGTTGCGTAATTTTATATTTATGTTTAACTTTATTGTTTCCTCATTTGATTTATTTTTTTCTTCTTGTATAGTATAATTTCGTATATATATATTTTTTATTACTTTTTTTGATTCTTCATTTTTCTGTTGCCGGGATGTCGTTATCAATACAATATAGTACAATTTTCTTAGGCTACAAACTGCGCACAGAAAATGTCTTGTGATTAGAATTAATTCGTTTCCATATCGGATCTTTGCAGCGTACAGTTAACTTGATTTCGTGGATTACAATTGGCTAAATACATTTCGTTATGGTTCCTTTGATTTAGGGGTCAACGGGTGGGCATAATAATTTTGGGGTTACTGGGAGGGTGCAGTATAGTGTGTTTTAAAGTTCCTTTGAGCTCTGATTGTCTGTCAGCTGCAAGTAGATCGTTAGTTTCTCAACATTGGTGTTTGGATTCCTGTCCTAACTGCAGCAATTCCACACACACATAAAAATGTACAATATATATAATACATGTATATTAAGAGAGTTTTATATATATTTCATACATACACGGGTAAAATTGAGAAAAAAAATGCATCTTAAAAGCTAGCAAAAATAGTTTACGTTTCACATTTACCACATATACATTTTTATATAGTTCACATACTCAATGTGTTGCCCAATCCAAAAACTAGATAGTTTTATGGTTGCGTCGCGCACTGTGACTACACAAAAACACTTTTATATATAAACTTTTCTCATTTGTGTTTGACATTCTTTTCCTTTAATTCTCTTAGCAATTAGCGAGCAATCGGGTTTTCTCATCCCGGCCATCAAATAAACTTCAATTTCCACTTAGCAATCATTTTTCCTTATTTATTGTCAGCAATTCTCATTTTATTTCTTGAAATTAAACACAAAAACAAACATTCATAGAGTTTTCTTTGAGCACAAAGCTATCGGCAAGTAAGTACATAAAATAGCCATCCTGTTCGCACACACACAGCAGTTAGGACGGACAAGGCTCGTTTGTCTGTGTGAGTGTCTGTCTGTGCAAGGATCTCCTCCTTGCCAAAAAAAAAATGGTTATTACCAAAAAAAACGGTCTTCAAATTCAAATGACTGAGTGAGATGGAACGATTTTTAAGTGGATGTACAGTCTGCTCAAAAGGTGTTAAATATAACTGTCAAAATTTTAGTGTAAGTACAGTCTGTCAAAAAGCTGTCATTGATTTCCGTTGCCTTTTAACCAATGCAAGTAAAGTCCTTACCATTAGAACTTTTAATTAATGTAAGTTTTAAGTAGATGTACAGTCCGCTCAAAAGGTGTTAAATATAACTGTCAAACTTTTAGTGTAAGTACAGTCTGTCAAAAAGCTGTCATAGATTTCCGTTGCCTTTTGATCAATGCAAGTAATGTCCTTACCATTAGAACTTTTAATTAATGTAAGTACGGTGTTATTGCCATCCTCGTTCTTTTTCATAACAGCCATTTGAATTTGAAGTAAATTTCCTAGACAAAATGATTTAGCTTAGCTAACTTCGTTTCTTCTCCCCTTGCACGCTCGCACACATATACATTTAAAATCTATTACAACTTTCATATACATTTAGACATTCAGTTTAAGTTATACATTTATATATGGTTTTATTAAATTGGTTTTCTTTACATTCAGTCAATTTATTGCAACACAAAAAAAAAGGTTTACAAAAATGTAATATCTCTATACTAGTTCACGTCTTTTTTCTTTTGTCATCAGCAGCAAGTAATTCATATGCGATTATGATTATATAACTAAACATCTTAAAAGCTCATTTCGTTTAAAATTTAACACTTCTAAATGGTTTTCGTTTTTTCGCTTTGCTTTGCCCTACCGTTTTGCAAACTATAAACAGTGCTTAAGGTTATATTTTCACGTATTCTTTATATAAACCTATGAAGATTTCTAGAGCCCAATAACGAAGTTCAGCTAGAGATTCATTCGACATGTGGGGAACATAACTAAAATATTTATATTTTATATACACAATTACAGATAGGAAAAAAAAATTGTAAGTAATAAACCGACACGGAGTCTCAAAAAAACATTCGTACAAAAAAGGTTTTAAAAACAGTTCTAAACTATATTAAAATGTTTTCTTTTTATGTCGTAAAGGAGGTCGGTGAGGGCTTGCTTGGATTTCCGGCATCTTCATCATTGCAAAGCCTTCTTTTCCTTTTGCATATTCTTTTGGTGGTTTTATTTTTTATTTTTTGGCGCAACACATTTTTAAGATTTAGGCATACAGTGCGTTTCTTGACTGTTAGGTTATGAGGGAAAGGGGTGAATGCCAACCGTTTGATTAAAAACAAGGCTATAATAATAACGTAAATCGCATTAAGTCGCAGCTTTAACTAAATTACATTGATGCAATTGTTTAATTAAGTAGCTTATCAGTTGAATATGATTAGCTGGTAATTAAGGTAGTAGGTATTGTAATTGGCCATTTAAATGGGCCAAATGAAGTATTTCATTGCACAATAAATTTATTTATAATTCAACGCCCAGCCCGCATTAAGGTAAATCCAGTTAAGAGATATTAAGGCATAAATTAAATTATTATGAATTCAGGGGCGGAGGGTGGCTATAAATTGGCATTTCTCCCTGCAACTTTAAGTCTTTTCGTCACGAAACGTTCTGTAGATGTTTAACTACTTTTGTTTTGTTTTTGTGTTTTTTTTTTTTGGTAACTTTAAGAAGCATTAATGCAAATACATCATATGCATATACACATATCAAGCATGCAAATGTCTCGGCTAATACAATTTAAAATTGGTTTTCCACCAGCAGCAACAGTTATCATTATCGTTATCCTTATCGGCAGCCAAGTTTCCCAGGTTCAATGCTTGCCACGCGGCAGTCTTATGGGTATGTGCGGATATCATGTATCCGCCATGGGGTCCTCGTTGTTGTTGTTCTTGTTGCCGGCTAATGGCAGCTGCTTTATCGTAATGACATCCTTTGGCTTTTGATGCAACAATTGTTGTCCTCGATCCGGTTCCGTTTCCCCTTCCCTTTCCGCCTCGATCTCCCCCTCGCGTCGCTCATGTTGCTGCTGCTGTTGCTGTTGCAGATGTTGCTGCTGTAGATGTTGCTGCTGTACATGCTGTCTGTTGTGTTCTTCTGGTATAATTTTATTGATTGTGTACTGATTATTGTTGTTATCCTTATTGTTGTTGTTGTTGCTATTGTTGATGACCGGTTTCGAGTCGTCATCCTCGCTGGACGACATCTGCAGCACTTCCTTGGCCTTACTCTCCCACAGCATTCGATTGGCCTTTAGCTGAAAATAGACAAAACCAAATGCGTATTCAAATTAAACCAACTCATACTCTCAATGGGTGCACTTATGCGTAAATAAACATAAATGGCAGCGGCCAAAGCCCCGAAAATCGTGTATTTCCCTTGCAATTGCAGCTGTTGCTGATGGCCGCCTCATTACGGCCGATGTTGCTGCTGTGTTGCCGCTGATGTTGCTACTGCAACCGCCGCACTATATGGCATTCACCACCGTACACCATATGCAAACATCTGCCCCTTTTGGCTGCAAAACGTTAAAACATCGTTTGAGTGGCAGTCAAAGCGAAAACTTTGAGCACAACAGTTTGGTGTTCAACTTTGGCGACGACACAGTGTGGAAATTAAAGCGAACGAAAAAGAGTTATTTAGCTCTATTTGCCTCTCATATGTTTTCATATATTTTTTTAAAGCCCCCCTAATGGTATTTCATGTTTTGAGCCATTTATTTGTTTGTTAGCTCTGCGTATTTTATTTTAAAGCAAACTTAGTATGATAAAAATATTTCAGGCTCTTGGAAACTGCGAAATTAATTACTAATGGTGATTATCTTATCACCTAGATTTAAAGGAAATAATACCAATGAAGTCTGTAGGTTGCGACACTTAAAAACCAATCAAACTCACCCCAAAAATACTCAAATATAATAGAAAATAAATATTATTGTTAATTTAATTTCCGACATTTTCCGATCCTTTTTTCAGTCTGTCAAATTAGTGACATTTTTTATAGAACTTTTAAAAAAATGTATAAACACTTAAAAATATTGTTGTTCTAAAAAAATTATACAAATTATAAAGGTTGCCAAAAACTGAGCACAACTCTTATATATATACTAATATTTAAATTATAGATGTGTTGTTCTATTAGTGTGCGATTTTTCATCATTTTTATGATGTCTTGATGCAAAAGGCAATCAAAACTAATAAGTAAGAATAATTTTCATAAAGTCTTGCTTTTGTTGATACAAGTAAACTTTGTGGAAAAAAAGAAAAGGTAATTACAAAACTTAGCTGCGCTTTTCCTTGCAGCTGTCTTAGCAACTAATTACTTTTAATGATTTTTGTGAGCATCGCTCAACATTTTTGACAGTTCTTCCTGTTTGCAGGAAATTCGTTTAGTTCTGCCATTTTTTGCCTTGTTAAATATTTTAGATTTCCATTTGATTTCTGTTTATCTTTCGCTGTGCAAACGAACCCGCAGAAAACCCCTTGTTTTTACAGCGTGAGCGTAATTTTGCACAACATCATTCTTTCTTTGTGCGGTTTTCCGAGTATTTTTTCCATCTCGCCCTCTGTTTTCCCTTCCACCAACCTCAGGGTATTAACGTTTCGTTATTTGATTTTAATTTTCCCGCTGCAACTGCCCCCGCTCGCTTTTTAATTTTTGCATAAATATTAAATATGCAAATATGTTTAAAATATTTAATACTTGCAGACACCTCTCTCGATAAGCGGATGGTTTGGCATGGTATTTGGGGGGACTGCGGCGCCCAGCCGTCAATTAATTAAAATATTTGCCATTAACATAAATTAAGGAATATAATGAAATTGGCGGACTTTCAATTGATATTAATTGCGTGGCACGTTGCGTGGCTTCCGGGAGGAATGGGATAACTGACCGGTTGGGGCATCAGGAAAATGGGATTGGTATTGGAATCGGCACCGATATGGATACCGATGGTATGGGGAAATGGCATGGGATCGGATGCCTGTCAAGCTGGCGGGGATTGCGAAAGTTGACTTAACTTTGTCCGGCTCTGGTGGACAATTTAACCCCCAGTCCCCCCGTGCCCATTCCCATTCCCATTCCCCCATCCTGTCTGCCGGTGGCATGCATGTATAAATTGCCACTTATGCCATCATGCCCCAGCCACGCCCCCTCCGCAGCTGCCGCCCCCAACGACAGGCAGCAGCGCGGAAACATTGCAATTGCAACTGTCAAACAGAAAGTGCCCCTGTGACAGGCCAATAAAAACGCACAAAAATCGGGGACATCATCAAACAAAAACCACTGGCTATGAAAAAAAATTGCACAGCTAAGGTGTAGCAAATCGAGTGAAAATTTTCGTTTTTACATCGCCACTTTAATTTACCAGACACTTTGTAATGTAATTTTAAAAAATCAACAAGGGTGAGCATGAAGATGTCATCACAAAAATTGCAACAGTCAATGAAAAGACAGTTAAGAAATTATATAAAAAAAGATCAACAAGGTCTTATGAAGGAAAGAAATACATTTAAATTATAAAATCCCTATTTGCTTACTAAATAATTTGACTAAGAATTAAATAGGAAAACTAAATACAAAATAAATAAAAAAGTTAAGTTATTGTTATCATTACATGATATTATTGTATATTAATAGTTATTAGTTAGGAAAAAATAAGCTAACAAACCTTTTGTAACTAAATAATTTAACTAAGAATTAAATATAAAACATATACAAAATTTTAAATAAAGATAAGTAAATGATAATATTAATTACTATTTTTAAGCCCCAGCTCAGAAAAAATGAGCAAACATTTTATAGTAGATGTGGGCGTAGAAAGACGAAAGGTGTATAAAAAAAAGCACTGCTGTCCACTTATCTTTTTATAGGAATCCACAATTTATGAGATACTCCTCGAATCGGGCGCCAGAACAAACAAATATATGCAGGAAAAGCGAGGATGAAATCAGCGCGGAGCTAACTTAACTTGAGTTAACTCAACGCCACTCGAGTCGAGTGGCGCGGAGTAACGAGGAGTGGACTAATTAATTAGCAGCTAATTTAACGCGTCGCTGCGCCGGACATAACTCAGCAGGATGCACTTGCAAACAGAGATAGCAGCTGCTGACGGCAAAAAACAAAAAAAAAACCGAAAGGGACATGGGGTGAAAGGTCAGTATAAATGGCCAAGTAAACCCAAAATTTCAATTAAACGTTAGTTGGAAATTCTCTTGGCCAGCCAGCGGCGACAGCTGTTGGCCCGGTAATCACTGACTTAAAAGGAAGCAACTCGGAAACGCTTTGAATCCTTTGACCACTTTATGAATACTAATTATGTTTTACTAAAAAAAAGAGCAAGGGGTGAACGTAAAATGGGTTATAATTCCATGCTCAGAACTTGGTTTATAAATTACGTTTTTTGGTAACAAACTTAAAGATACTCATACTCTTACAAATTTGTTTTTGGTTAGATAGGAATTTTTATCATTACTAAGTTGACTGGAAAATGTACGTCAAATGGTTATCAACTCTGTTGAATGCTTAACTATCTCAGCAGGAATACGTGCAGGAATTACAAATTATTTCAGCGAACACATCAAATTTTTAATAAAAAATATTGTTGTCCTCTGGGAACTTAATGAAAAAATAATGTAATGAACTTTTTTTTAAGACTCCTGCTGACTCTTTATGGTACAACACAGGACAATGAATACAAATTTAATAAAAGCGCGCGCAAAAAACATTGATTGGTTAAATGTTTCAGCGGGAAGTGCTAAATAAATAATGAAATTACATTTTTTTCTGATGGCTCGCACCTTTGAGGCATGAAAAACTGGACTACTTTTTCACCTGTCCCTCGATAGACTACTATATTTCGATTAAAATCATATTTACCCATATATTTCCGAAGATTCAAATAAAACACAAACGAAAAAACCCCAACACACTACAAATAGTTTTCCATAGTTTTTCATCTTTTGGCGCACAATGTGCATGCCACCGGCCCATAGATGGCGCCACCAAGCGACCATCAAATCCCCATCATCATCGTGATCAATGATATTCCTTTCAGTTTCATGGCTTTGTAACCCCAATACCCCATACATATCTGAATCAAAGTAGCTGGAAAAAGAGTAATACAAAAAAGGCAACAAAATGGGTGAAAAATAAAAGAAAATCACTAGGTGCAACCAACAAACGAGAAGGCAAAGTGCAAAACACAAAACAAACAAGCAAAACACAAATCGCACATACAGAACGAAATCGAGTAGAAGGATAAAAAAAAAGTTGCACAATGTGTGATGTAAGTGGGGCGGGATTTGTGCTGTTGGGCTCCTGGATATACCGTATACGGGATATATGGCAGGAATATGCAGGGAAGTGCAAAATATGCCAATGACACGGCCAGCGGGAGTGGGTACGGCCCAGAGCCAAAGGAAAAGGTGAAAGATAACAAGAGCCTGGGAAAATGACAAGCAACAAAAACAAAGGACAAAAAAGGGGTTCTCAGTGGGCGGTGCTGGTGGTGGTGTAATAGGGATGAAGTGAAATTGCCTGTGTTTGACAGTGATGCCTTTGGAAGTGAGCCTCTCAAGGGCCTCTAATTGAAAATTTAATCACTTTCGTTAAAATCTCCTTTAAAACCATGATACTTCATAATTTCAGAGGTGATATATAGGCACAAACTTGTTGTAAAAACTCTTAAATTAATTCTTAATATTTATTATATAGTTTAAATACAACAAATCCTACTGGGTTTGTGATCTATCAAGTGCTTTGGTTTATAAATATTAAAAAAAAAAACAATAAAAAAGTTGTAAACTACTATTAAGTACTTGAAATTTGCATGCATTTTACTACTGGTTAGTTTGAAAAACTATTAAATTTGAAATGAAGGTGTGTGTTGGCATCACTGATGTGCTTGGCTGGCTGATGGTGAAGTGGTAACATGGAAAGTGGCTGATTCTGGGTGTTTTGAGTTTGTTTTGCATTCGGGAACCGGCGGGGTTGCACCTTACCTTCGACGTGTTGTCCTGCACCCATGCATCTGGCTTACCATAGTCCGGCGGATTCGCGTACGGATCGTAGCCGAGCACGGACAGCATGGGCGCTATGTCGGCCATGTCGCGTACCACATCGCCGGGTATCTGGCCGACCCACTTGGACATCGCCTCCAGATTTACGGGCTTGATGACCTGGTCCGACGACCGTTCCACCCTGCGAATTGGTTTAAACTTAAGTTATGGACTCTAATCTTGGCCATCAATTTGGACTCACTTGGACAGGGGCACGCCGTTCGGCTTGTTGATGAACTCTTCGTGGTGCAGCACCGCATCGTTCCATGGAACGTCCAGGAATTTCAGTATCTTTCGCATCCATTCCTCGGGATGCAGGACGAGCTGTTCATAGTAGACCTGGCAGATATAATGGTAAATACATTTGATTAGTTGGGATGACAACTTGAGCTAGCTCTCAAGAGTATTACTTCATTTAAATTTTATGCAAAGTAATTTGTTTCTTATCGTATATCATTCATCAGTACTCATCAAATTAAGGTATTTCAAGCATGATTTTTTCTTCTTGAACAGGTGATATTCATATGTATAGTGTTATTTGAATGCATTATTTAAAAATCTAATTTTTGTTTCAAAGTTCAGAGTATACAATTTAATTCCTTTAAATATCTTATTTAGACCAGCAATGTAAAATATAACACTAGGTTTTCAAAATGTTTTGAAAAATACTAAAATCATCTAAAAACTTTAAGCAATCAGCAATTTTATATACAATTTTTGGGAGACAGATGATGAAGGACAGCCTTTGTTGGATCAGCCATCAAAGGAATTTAAAAGTCAGTTCGCTTAATTTCCTGTGCCAGACTGCAGCACCCCGACCAAGTTAATCATCGTTGATTGAGATGGGTGGCCAGGTGGTCAGGTGGGTCAGGTGCGACTGGGTGGAGGGGTGGCCAGTCAGCCAGTCGGCCAGGACTCACCATCATGCACCGCTCCTTGCCGATGTCCCGGCACTGCTCGTGCATCACCTCGATGGCGTGGTTCCACTTCTGCATGCACTGCCGGTAGCTGCTCAAATCGAAGCCGGTGATTGTCACCTTGCGCGATATAATCGAATGAACTGTCGCCCGGCCGTCGCGCACCATGAATAGGAATTTAGCCTGTAACAACCAGAAAACAGGTGGAGTGCACCAGCAAAAATATAAGTGACATTTTATTATAAATATGTTGTAAATGGCATAATAATAATTCAATTTCTACCTCTGAAGTATCATGAAACTGTCTAGTTTTAATTGGATTCCAATCCTTTGTAAAACTAATGGCTTCAATTTTATTTTTTATATATTAAGACACGTTATTCTAGTAGCTAAAAGTTTAAATGCTTTGGGAGAATCTTTAGATTTCATTAAATTGATTTTTTTTGATTAGCTAATGGCTTTATTTTCCATTCTTTACATAAAGATATTCATTTGTAATTATTACTACATTATTATTAATTTAAATATTTGAAGATAACTACATAAAAACAGTACAATCTTGGTTAAATTACTTTTTAATACAAGCAATCAAGCAAGTACATTCAAAAGTATTATCTCACAGAACAGGTGACTTTAAATCCATGAAGATAATTGGTTGTCAAGGTATCCCAAAGGGTTTAACAAAATATTTTCTTGTTTTCTATGGCGTACTTTAGACTAAAAGCCAACCGACTTTATTTCCTTTGAAAGGGATTTCTGTGACAACCGAGTAGATGGTTTTGTATCAGATACGGTAAATGAAAATGGCATTGCATAACTGATATTGTTATGCTTTTCATGCGCTCAGTGTGCGGATTGTTGGATGGCAGGATGTAAAGGAATGGGGAAATTGTATCGCTGCGGGTGCTTACGTTCGGAAATAGCTCGATGACATAGGAGCCCATTTTCAGCGTCAGCGGATCCTTGTTGCATAAGCGCGGCGCCGGCTCGCCGTGCTTGGCGATGATTTCCAGACAGAACTGCGCGATGGCACTGTTCATGACCTCTTTGGTGATGCCGGCCTCCTGCAGGCGGAGCGACTCCTTCTCGGACTTCAGCCAGTGCGAGCGCAATTGCAGGATGCGTGGAATGACGCGGGTTTCCTGCCCGCAGCTGCAAGGATCCGAAAAAATACAGATGAGAATAGTGCTTTGTGCTGGGTTAGTGGCTGCGGGGCAGCTTCTGTTCACAAGGATAGGGTGCTTCCAACTCGGGTTAGAAATTTTATAACCCAGTGCAGGTTTTGGGTAATGGACCCATTAATAATATTAAAAAAAACCAGTGTTTCCAAATTTTTAGAAGTACATGCGACATTTAGAAATATTTTTTAAAGTATTTATTGTGACTAAATATTAAAATCATGGAGCTATTTTGTATCTAGTTTGGAATGGTAAGTGCCATTTCATAGAAACACGTTCTTAATGGAATAATATATTCAGCAATAAAAAGTATTTGATCTAATATATTAAAGAAAATTCGAATGCCTCATCTATTAAGAGTGTTAAAGCTTAACACAAAGTAACAGCACCATTAATGAAAGTCCAGGTTTGGTATTCTAGTTAATAGAGTGTTACCCCAATATTCAGGTTTGGTATCGCCGGGCAACATGTGTTGGGGCTCCACCTCCATATCCTCCTCCTGCTCCGCCCCTTAATGCAATCGACAAAACGAAATGGTATACCATCCGCTGTTAGCTCTTCGGTTTTTCCCTGCAGTGGAGGTGGAGCCCCCGTCGCGATTCCATGTCTGGTGCATAACTCCCATTTGGGTGCCCCCTTTCAAGCCCGCTCCGATTTCCCTTTTGGCTGCAGGACTGCAGAAACCACTGAACTATGAAGGGCTTCAAACGATTCGTTTGCCGTTCTAGCATTTTCCGCCGGCAGCGCACCGTAATCAAGTTCAGGGCACACACAAAAAATTACTGCCTGATTGCGTAAATTATCATAAATATCCCACACTGCAGTGCGAAGCAAACGGCGATTGAAAAAAAGGAGCACGAACCCATGACCCCAGAGGAAAGTAATCAAAGTCGATCAAAGCCTTGTTTATTCAACTATTTTTTTTTGAGCCAATTGAAAGGGGTTTTGGGTCAGTAATCAAAGTTGATTTAAGTTTTTTGTTGCTTCACCAAAGGTACTTTGAGACAAAGCCTTTGGAAAAAGAGCTATAAAAAGGATGGATATGCGAGTACTTCTGATATGACCAGGTATGCAGTAATTGCTAACTTTGAAAGTTGAAATCATAAAGCAACAGTTTTAATTAATTTGTTTGATAGCCAATCGTAAATCTAAGCTTTTTTACAGCAATCAAATGAAAAATAGTTGCAATGCTTGTTTTAAATTTAACTAAATTACTAGTGTTTTGACCAGAGCTGAGTAAATTAATATAATACAGAATAATAGAATGCCAAAATCGTTAGTCCTATTAGAATCTAAATAAATAAAACATTATATTTCCAACCATTTGGGTCATTACCATTAAGGTTTGAAGCCATTTTAAAGATCATGTCGACAAAAAATACAGTTTCATAATTATAAAGCCTAAACTTCGGTGCTCGAAAGGATTATAAAAACCCAATACAAACTTTGTTTTCAAATTCCTTGTCAACTTATCATAGTTACATTTTAAATGTTTTTAAGTTGCAACTCAATTGTTATCATCTTATATGATAATTGCCTTCTTATCAGCTATTGTTATGGGTGAGCTTCTTATTTGCCTAGTAATAACTAAACATTTTTAAAAATTGTATAATGATAAGAACATAACGTTATAGCTCTTTAGGGAACTTAAATGCATATTGTTCAATGAATAAAGGCTACCCTTGTTATCTAACCTAAAATGTAATACAATAGTTTTCGCCTCGAGCTGATAGCTTGTTTCTAAAAAAGCAAAATTTCCATAAAGAAATATCTTAGATGGAGCAATTTAATAGCCCAACAACAGGGAGTCACCCATTTGGCACGATCTAAATCGGGGTCACAACTTTATCTGGCCCCAACCAATTACATTTGTTCGCACCTCGACATGAGAGCCCTCCATTTCGCTGGGTATCCCTCTATCCCTATCCGGCCATGCAAATCCCACAAAATTGTTTCGGGGCTTACCCAGACTCAATTAGTTGATGCCAAGTCCAAATGCTAAATGCTACAAATTCTAAACCAGATTTAATCTGGAAACCAGAAGGGGAGCCCAGGGGTTATGAGGACGAGAGTGAGAACGAGAACGAGGGTGACCTACTCCACATACGCTTAGGAAAGTTTTACACTTTGCACCGCCCACGTTTTTGGAGTCCTGCAAAGGCGAACAAAGGACGAGGAGGACCTATTCTGTAACTAAAATCCGTGGGATCCTTGAGGGAAAGGGAAGTCGGTTTTTAAATAGCGGAAATTGCGCTGTGCAGCCATCAGAAAAAGCGACCCTGACTGCCTGCCGTGGCCGCCTGCTGTCGGAACCCAGGATCCAGGATCCAGGATACAGGACGCAGGATAGGCCACGGATGCGATGGGACAGGATGGAGCGAAATGGTCTGGAAATGGGCCCGGCAGAAAGGCAAATTGTTAATAAAATAAGGGGCTTACAAAAAACTGAAGCCAAACGACCGACTCCTTTTGGTCCTTGGCCGTTTCTCATTTCTCAGATTGCGCAAATTTTCGTGGCTAATTACTCATGCGTAAGGGAAACTTAAGAAATTATAATATATATCGCAGCAGCCAGAAGGTAAAAAGGCAGGCAGATAAAGCCAGGCCCAGAAACAGAAACAGATACGCAAAATGAAGGCGACGCAGGACCAGCCGTAAAAAAATATTAAAATTGCCAAAGGGCAAAACGGAATATATCGAATTGGGTGGCTGGCTGTGGGCGGTGGAAGATTGAAATTGGGGAGTTGGACACCAGAACAGCACCACAGCGCCACCCGAAAATGTATATATTAAAATTTACAACATTTTCCCCATAGAGCCGAGTGGAAATACACTTTATGGCAGGCCAAAAAGCAGCCGAAAAGGGTCTCTCAAAACGGAAGAGGAAATTATTTGGAATTTGAATGTTTTTTCAAGGCATCGGCAAATGTTTGATTATACTCAAAGGAAGTGTGAAATTTGGTTAGCAGATTTCTTGGCTTAAGGGGTTTTAAAATATTGATAAAATACTTTTGGTGAAAATTCCCAGCCAGATTGGAGCATCAGCAGCGGATAAGTATTGCAGGCAATTTTAAATATTAAAGCATTTTAAGCGCTTGAAATGGCGTAATAGCACTTAATAATCTCGCTAAAAATTATAAAGGTTTAATTTACCAGACTAAAAACTAGTTTATAACTTTAGGGTACCGAAAGAGGATTAAAGGCGTAAATATTTTCGATGGATATTCAACTTTAATTAAGTTAACTACAAAAATTCGAGCATTGCAATGCACTCAACTGGAAAGAAAACAATGAACAAGTATAGTTTGTTTCAAATTGTAAAATAAAGTTTGTTTTGACAGTAACAATAGGAGATCAGCTTAAGGGCAAACGAATAAATTGGTTGTGACTTTTCAACAACTAAAAGAAAAAGTAGCTTTCATCGATTGTCATTGGATGAAGAGAAAAATATTCTTCTAAATTAAAAGCGACTTTTTAATGGAACACATTTCCATGAAAATTCAAGACACTTATTTGACATTCGATACTTAAAAGATGATATAAAAAAGAATGAATTAATGAAATGGTTATGTGATATGCCCCAAAGTTGGCACCAGCTCAAAAGAGAAATGGGACCTCACCCACGCAAGGTGACAAAAGGGAAACTTTAAATTGAATTTCCTTCGGTGAAAATTAAATGTTAATTGATTTGACAGCAATGATTTCGAGCATATCAATAAAACGCCGACACGGGTATCCTTTTAAATGGAACTCAACGACTTGAGGAATGGGGGAATTATTCAATTTAAGATTTATCCAAGGAATATGTGATATGTGCTCAGATAAAAATATACAATATACAAGTTCCCAATATTTGGAGTGCCTAAAAAATGCTTTGGTTTATATTCCCTTGTACTTTTGCTGAAACACTTAATCAAGTGGTATAAAATAATATTTATATAAACTTTTTGGAACCTTTAATCCCTGTCATATAACTACACAACCCTTCCTGTGTTCAATGTCAAACCAATAAATCGGCTCTGATATCCGATATGTGAAAGACTTCAGCTCGACTCCCGGGAAAGGAAGAGGAAGTGGGGCATTCCCCCCAGACCGCGCGTTGTGGCAAACAATCAAATCGAACAGTTTCCCGGGGAACGGGGATTGGGTATGGAAAGGGTATTATCCGGTTACAGGGGGAACCTGATACCCAGGAATACAGAAAGCCAGGACCCGGGGGTTTCCGGGCAGCAGGACTTACCGCACATCGGGATGGGCATCCAGCATGGCGCGCATCAAAGTCGTCCCAGATCTGGGCACGCCGCCTATGAATATTAATGGCATCTCACGGTTGTATGAATAAACGCGTTGATTGTCATCTGTGAGGTATTTCTGAACGTGTCCGTATTTCGTAACCGTAACCGTAGCCGAGTCCGTGTCCGGGGTTTCGCATCCGTATCCGCGATGGCAATGTAGGTGGAGACAAAAAAATGAAATTAGAGAAAAGTTGCAGGCGCGAAATAAATGACATGGCTCGTGGTGTTGGCCACGACGATGATGGTGATGATGATTATGATTATTATTATTATTATAATGATGGGGGGGGTGTGTAGGAGAGCTGGAATCTGAGAACTGGGAATCGGCGGTTTGTGGGTGATGGCTTGATGGTTGAGTAAGCGCAGGTGTTAACGCCATCGTGGGCATTAGCGTCACAAGAAGTGAAAAGTGGTGGCGACAGGTGATGGGCATTACTAAAAATAGATCCAAGCTATCCATATGGAGCTCAAAACGTTATGCGGCCTTATCTTTCTCTAGGCTAAACCCTGTGATAAATTGGGACCTTATCAACGGTAAACAACGTTTACCCACCTAATGGAAAATCGATCGGTTTTCGTAAATCATAACCATTGCCTCAGGAAAGTGATAGTGTTGCATGCATATGTAGCTTTGCTTTTTATCTAATCGAAATGTTTACTTTGATAGATAAGTGTGAAAAAAACCGGGATTTTATTTTGACGCTGATAAGAATATTAGTTATACATGTTTAAAAAGCACATATTGCTCTATAAACACACGCAAAACTAAAAACAAGCCAAACCAATGCTTTGATTTTATTTAAATTATTATTTACCCACTCAAATTTCAGCGATTTCCGATAGTGTAAAGATGATTTGAATTATAAATCACTCTTGCTGCTCATATGCATGCTAATTGAAGTCCATGAAATTCAAATCCATTGTTCAAAGCGCTTTGTTTTGTGAATTAACTATTTGGTTGAGCGATAACAAGTTTAATCAATGGATTTATTGGTTTCTGGTTCTGCATGCCAGCCAATTTGACTGAGTTAATTAAATGTTTGATTTCGCTGTCAAAGTGGCATGATGTCCAATTTATGCCAGAGCTTCGTATTTCCATATTTAGCCATAGCAAATCTCCTGAATTATAGCCCATTTTTACCTCCTGCCTTAATTACCCTACCCACATACAGGATAATTTGCATAAATTTATATTATTTGTTTTGGCACAACATTGTTGTACCCATTAAATAAGATGCATTTCTGCTGTTGTTGTGGGTGTGGGGGTGGTATTGGGCTTAATGCAATGCAGTTGCAATCCATTGGTTCTAATAATTATGCATTTGGATGCTGCATGATATCCGAATTAAGCCATGGCTTCACATTTCCTATAATTGGACCCACAAAGTCCCCGGAATTAAAGCCCCTTTCATGGCTAAAAGCAAGGATGTGTTAATGCCCTGTGGAAATGATTTGGCTATCTTGGCACACACATCTCGGACGCATTGTCTTACTTGTGTGGAGTCATCTCCTGGCCCCGGAACCTCAAACTCCATTTTGGTGCCCATCCTAAGCTGCTTATGACCTCCGCCTCCGATATTCCCAATGCTAATCAATGGATAGCCCCCCCCCCCCCATTTCAACTCCAACGAGACCATTTTGGTCTCGACTAATGTTTACAAAATAGTGTTCGGTCATCCGATAACCAGTTAAATTCCCTCAATGACTTTTGCTTTGGTTTTGCGTGTGCGGTCCGTGTTTTCCGGGGGCGGCAGGATTTTCATCTGTGCTCAGCCAACATGAAATTAGTTATCCAGCTTCGGTTCTACTCCCATGATTTTTTTCCTTTGATTTATCATTGCAAATGTTTTTGTTTGGCTTGGTCAGCATGAGAGGAGTGGACGCCACAGTGCGTCACAGAAATATAAGGCAGTGATAGCCAAAAATGCAGCAGTACAATTTAAACTTGGGAAGATTAAATATCAAATTTAAAATTATTCCTTGAAAACCCAGCAAAACTTTAATCTATACTAGATTTTGGAATAAAAACCATATTTTTAAATAATATAAGATTTAGAAATGTTCAAAAAATATATTTTCCTGATCATAATGATAAGTCATATAAATGATTATACATTTTTACACGTATTCCTTCATATTTCTTTTAAAAAAAACGTAGAAAGACATCTTTCTTAAAAAAATTTCAACGATAGACACAATTTTCCCACACAAATGCAAATAAACCATTAACTCTCGACTGAATGTGTTCAATATCTAACTGATTTCGGAATCAAAAATAGATTATCAAATAAGGCAAGCCCAGAATCTGTCAAGAGCTGATTGCTTTCACGGTTCTCCAGCCCCTTTTACCAATTGATTAAATTTAAATATTTTCATCCACATGCCTAAATTTTTGCGACGCACCTTGGGCAAAGGATGTAGATGTTCCGGTGTGTGACTATGTGTGCTTTTTCTTTTTTTTTTCCCCCCCGAAATGGGAATGGGAATGAGGATGGATGTGGGGTGTGAGGCAAACAGATTGTGTTCGATTTGGGGGTACATACCTCAACGCGAACCATTTGGGAGGACAGCTCGTTGGAGGCGTCCACCTTGAAGAGGCATGTGGGCCGCAGCTCGGTGAATTTGAATAGGAACATGGTGATGACGATGATGCCGAAGAGCACCCACAGGGTGACCTTCTTATTTCGGTATGGCAGTCGCATTCTGGCGGTGGAGCAGGTGAAGCAAGCGGAGCAAGTGTCGCAGCTAACTGGCCTTTGATTCGGCGGATGTGGATGTGGATGAGAATGATGTGGTCTGTAGTCTGCTCTGGTTCGCTCCTTCTTCCCGGAGGCGCCCACTCGTTCTACCCAGCTCCTATTGATTGCTCCTCCGCTCGACGTTTGCCCAAAGCTTAAATATGTAAATTGGTTTTCTTGAGGTCCTCAAAGCGAGAGTTGTTTTGCTTTGGCTTTGGCTTTTGCTTTTGCTGTTGCTAGTGCCGTTGCCGTTGCCGTGTTGCTCCTTGTGATGCCAGCTCCTCCACTTGTTTGCAAAGGATACAAGGGATACGGGGATGCGGGATGCGGTGGGTGGCTAGCTCGCTGACTGGCTGGTGTCCCTATAGTGGATCCTGATGCTGCTGCTGCGGCGGCTTGGCGGTGCCACCACAATAATTCCGTCCACGGTCGTGGTGGTCCTGTTCCGGTCTGTGTTCTGGTCTCTGTTCCTGTTTCTGTTTCTGGTCCTGCTGCTGCTCCTGCTTATGACGTTGATTGCTTTGCATCGCCTCGCCTTTTGTTTGCTCCTTTTTGGCCAGCCAACAGCAGAAACAACTCGGCTTGGCCAACACAACACAGGCACAACACGATCCTGGCAATCCTGACAATCCTGGCTATCCTCCTGGCAGCTGCTGGACCCCTGTTTATCACTCCTCTGCCGCTTTCTAGTCCTCGCTGTCCATTTATTGCATTTTTACAATATATATATATACCTATATATATAGCACGCTGCAAAGGGAAAAGCAAAGACTACGTTAAGCATATTTAAATAGTTTGCCACGAATTATTGTTTGCCGCCAAGACATTCGATGCCCTTGTGTCTGCGGGAAAATATCGCTATGCTAACAGTTTGTAACACAACATAAAAGGAGGAATGTGGCCACATATTTATGATTTATAGTCTGTCAGTTGGAAAATTTATTACTTGAATACTGACTTAAATATAGCAAAATTTATAATTTAGAAGAAAATAAAAAAATCTTGGTATACAAGAATCAAAATAGAAAGCAAAAATTCCTACTATTTTTTTTTAGTTCAGCATAAATTTCTCTATCTTTTCACTTTTAATGACTTTCAAAGTATTTTTTTTAGTTTTTCTCACAAACTTCAAAGGCCTGGAAGGGTATTCAGTACTTCTGCAATCGATTCCCTTCGTTTTTTCGCTGGCAACTTGCAACTTTGAATGTTCGACTCTCGACTTTCGACACTCGACCGCTTCTGACTGGCAACCTGAAGTGACTACGCACCTCTACGGCTTTGGCTGTTCGACTTTTCCTCGACGGATTCTCCTGGCGATGGCTGCAACTTCACTTGAGTTCAGTTCAGATGTTTGCTCAGTTGTTGACGAAGAGCTGCCAGCCCAGCGACTTAATGAGCCGAAATGCCAAATAGACTGGAACCAACGTCAGCGATATATACACGTAATAGCTCCAATCGCCGGTTATTTCCTCCGTCATACCTGCAGATGAAACGGCAAACATGGAAATATTATTAATCACCTCGCAACTCAAACAAAAAACAAGAAACAAGAAAAGGGAGATATACAGAAGGAAAGAAAAGTGCAAACACAATTTCCCTGGGAGGGCGATGGAACACATGATATATTTGATTAGAAATCATCCACGATACATTTGTTCTTTTCCTTTTCAATATGACATATGAACGTGACTCCCAAGGGGGTCAAGGGGGCATATAAAGTAACAAGGCAAGGGGGTGGAGGGAGCGGCGTAAGCGGCTTACACACAAGACATTTTCCAGCTGTTTTCCCAGAGACTCCTAAGTGCCACCCAGTACAGTAAAATTCAATGGATATTTATTATTTATCCAAGTGAAATAGATACCACACATTTGCATTTACATAAAGTCATGAATCTTTTAAACTTTTATGACATATGTATATAAACACATTGTAAACATTTATAAATTGAAATAATCAATAACAATAATAAATAAAGGGTATCATAAATGATATAAAAAATTGAAAAATGAAATTTATGTTATTCTAAATAAAACATTACTTATAAAGACATGGTTAAAGCAAAACTAATCAGGCAATTTACATAGAAACTCAGTAATATATTATAAATTTGTATATTATATGCAAAATAATATTGCCTTAATATTTTAAGATGTTAGTTTATTTTTAGGAACCCTATTTTTAGTTAAAGGCCCATTTTCTATTATTTTATAAGATACATTACATATACATTCCTTTTTGGTTATATTTAGACCACGGATCTTTCTATAAATTTTAATTCCTACTTAACCACTTCAAGGTTAAAAGCAGGGATATCAATTTCCACCCATGAAAGTTTGACTGTAATTGCCCACATTCTCGTTGGAAATCCCTCAAACTATTTGCCCTTTAGTACCAGGAGTGCATATGAGTTTCTGGCGACATTCGTCACTGGGTTTTCCCCCCGTCCAGATGAAAAACGGGTTGGGTTTGCAGGGGAGGGGGGATAGTGAGTGGCCGGAGCACACTTGACAACTGCCAACTGCCAAGTCCCCGGCAAGTCTCCCAAGTGCGACCGACGTGTCAGATGCTCGAGTACTTATAATTCCTTTAAATTCCCAACTTTCCCAGCTCCGACATATGTATGAGCGGAAGTGAGGTGGCGCAGGCCAGGATGATAGACACAGAAAGCCGGAGCGATACCAACTGGCAAGCAGATAGGAAAGTAAAGTGCCTCAAAGCGAAAAACGTACTGCCAAGGAGTCGTGTGAAGGGTGAACTTAAAGAGCTTAAAGACCATTGGAAACTACATGTATCTTTTGGTAAACGTTGGCAAAAATAGCACGCTTTACTAATTGGCTGTCACTCAAAACAATTGCAAACATCACGACTTCTGTCATATGGCACGAAATATTAATGAAGTAACTCATTAGTAAATCAATAACGATTAAATACTACTTTTGGCTCTATGTTGATACATGTTTTTTAGTGTTAGGGTAGACTAAAGTAAATAAAACTTTTTATAGAATTATCTTACAATGCAAACGCTTATGTTAATATTATACTTAGTTATTCTAGTTTTGATAGCTTGAATCACACTAAATGTACATATGTTTTATCAAGCCATATTCCTATCAAGCCATATTTTCATTTTTAAAACAAAACTCGTTAGTTCATAATTAAATAATTCAAACAAAAAATAAATTAAAAGTTATTTTCAAGTGACCGAAATTGCTGTACACCTTCCGATTCTCATTCTCTTTAATTCCCTTTCATTTGCCACGCACAAAATCTGAAAGTAAACTTTTACCATTCCGCAAAACTTTAATTAATTTAAAATTTGAAATTATTTGTTGGCAAAAGAAAAACGCACAACGTACACGCACAATTTCCCGCCCACACACACAGACTGCAAGTTTTCACAAATGATTCGTGGGTGTTTGTGGGTGGGTGTGCAGCTTTCGTCACTCGTTGAAGCTCAGAAACTATTTTCTTTTTGGCCAGGCACAAACTTCCAAGAAGCTGGCAATTTGTCGTCATTGCAGGAGTTTTCCTTCTTCCTTCTCCATTTTTCCTTGTCCTTTCAATTTCATTTTCCATTTTCCTTTCACATTTCACCTTTGGCTGTTGGTGCAAACATATATCCCGTTATTCCCAATTACACATGCACTTTTCCAGCGTGTGTGTGTGTGTTCGTGTACTTCCTGCCATCTGATCCTGCCAACTTGTTGGTCACTCCTGCTCCCAAGGACCCAAAAAACAGGAGCAAAACAAGCAGGGACACGTCGCTACACTTGGAAAAAATTTACATGACAGGTGGGAAATCAATCCTAAATTCATTTGCCTAAGTAAGCAAATCTTTAAAACTCTTTTCTCACCACAAATATTTTTGGAATGGATAAATATTATTTAAATAAGAATTATAACACTTACTAGCACCAAAACATAAGTTTCTTCTTAAAAACAAAAAAATTCTTCTATATTATAATGAGCATTTGTTTGCCTAGGCGTGTATTATTTAAAAAATTAGCTTAGTTAATAATCTAGGAGTCCTGTAATGCAATCTTCTAAGATATATGATATAATATGATATGATATATGATATCATATATGATATGATAGATGGTGTGATATATGACATCATATATGATATGATAGATGGTATGATATATGATATGATATATGATATGATATTTATTCATATGTTCTTAAGTTTTATCCAGTTTCTTGACACAATAATAATGCTAACGTATCTTTACAATATATTTCATATCTTTTACTGTATCTAAGTTATTTCTTTCTCTATTTTAAAAAATGAGCATTTATTTCCCTGCAAATGTATTTCCACATATGACAGAATCCCCTCAAGGGCCTTGCTTGTTCTTCGGCTTGCCACATTCTCCGCTTTGCTGCTTTTCGTGTGTCGAAAAGTTTTGATATTAAAAAATAAATAAAAATAGAAATTCCTTTTGGCCATATTTTGCATGCTAAAATTGTGGCTTATATATTCGCCCCCCCCTCGAAATGGGTGCCAAAACTTTTTAGAGCAAAGTTACTACGGCACAGAGCACCCCTTTTCTTTGTTTTTTTTTTCCACTGCTCCCACACAAAAAAAGAAAAAAACCCAAAAAAAATAATAATAACCCGAAAACCAAGTTGAATTTTTGTTTGAAGAGGTGCGCTGAAAGTGTGTGTGATGTTGGCAAACATTCACACACATTGGAAAGCATTCGCTCCAGTTTTTGTTGCCTTTGTTGTTGGTTGTTTGTTGTTTGGCTCAAGTGTCGGTTAAAGTCTTGTAAAAATTAATAAGCGTGTAAATTGTATTGTATTGCCACACACACACACTCCCGCACAGAGAACGCATTAAATTGTTTATGCATACGAAGAGTTTTTCCTACTTTATTTTATGGGACTTTGGGTTTTTTATTTCCACAAACAGTTCTCAGATGCTTTTGTTCTTATGTTATGCTCAACTTAAGCTTAATGGCATTTTGTTTTCGGCTCTACCCTACAGTGGATCGCAAAGGGAAAATGGGGATTTAGCTATAATAATGGGTGTTCAGGAAATAAATGTAGCGTTACATAACCCGTTGAATTATTGTACTTATAATTTCAAATGCAAATTTGAAAAGGGGTTAAAATGATTGCGACAACTACTAATATTTTTACTTATGCTTTACGAATTTGTTTCTCATAAAAATAGGCTCTTTTATACCCGTACTCCTAGAGTAAAAGGGTATACTAGATTCATTGGAAAGTATGTAGCAGGTAGAAGTAATCGTTTCCGACCTTATAAAGTGTACGATGCAAACTCTAGAGATTCTTGCGCAGCGCAAATTCAATCTATACGAGTAGACGCTAGGTGGCGTGTTGGTGTGGTGTGCAATATGGGAAACAGTCGATTTGCAGCAAGAATATCTACTTCTCTCTCGCACTCCCTTTAGCTGAATAACGGGTATCTTTTCATTCTAAAATAATTGTTATATCCCAGATATTTTTTAATTGAATGTCTAGTACAGTAGTTCAAAGATTCAAAATTATAAGATAATTTTTTTTATCAGCAGGTTTTATAAATATATTAGATTGTATTTTCAACATGTATAGGGCTGATACTACCAGTTTGTCCCACTGTATTGGGTAGAAATAGCCTGGCGCTAGTTCACACGCTTGTTGCGCCCACTATCTCTTGTCTTTTGTCCCTGGGAAAAGCGGGCAAAAAGTAGAAAGAAAATCTGCATAAATAATGTTGAGCCACGCTTTCTGCGGGAAGTGTTGATGATTTGATGGAAAATTCCGAAACTAAAGCGCGCAAAGTGCGAAAACAAAACGCTGCGGCTTAAGCACAGTTAGAAAGGCGGAAGAAAGTGGGTTCCCTGGGGGGGGGGGTCCAATGGGGGTGGTGGAAAAAAGGGTAGAAAAATGGGGCTGATCCCAGCCGGCAGAGCGTAGCCATTCTATTTTTCCAGCGGAACGTGGCTCTTCACATTTTCGCCTCCCTTTCCCCAACGGGCGAGAGTTTATTATTTAGCAAACTGACTCCGTGGCGACATTCGGCTCATTTATCAGGCAAAAGCACGTCACGTCGTGATATTATAAATTACTTCAGACAATATGCAGCAGCCCCCCCGTTCCTGAGATGTCTAACTTGGCTATAATCCCGTCAGTTCTGGTCGCCTCTAAAGGTCAGAATGGGGGAAAAGTCCATGGTAGCGGCAATGCCAAAACATCAATCACTAATCCCATGCAAATAAACCAGGCAGGGGAAGGCATTTTTAATTTAATTAAAACTGTATGCTGTACAGACTATTATGATTTGTGTTCAGAAAACCCAAATAAACAAGCTTTTTTGTGGTCCAGAGCTTCTGTGCCGTTTTTCCCCTGGTTTATTGTTTCCATTTAATTTCCATATGAATCGAATAACTTGCCGCCGAGCTGCATGGCCAAACATTCCGAACCAAAATGAAATGTGGCTATTAAAATTAAATTAGATCTTTGTGATG